TTTTTTTTTTTTTTTTTTTTTTTTTTTTGGGTTGACTTTGGGTGCTTTTGCTGGTCAGCGGCCCGACACGAGGTCAAGGGTAAAGTTCAAATTTGGCATATCGTGGGCATGTTTTGGTTGATTGCACCCTTCCCAGATTCCATAGAATGGGAAAGGAGCCATGGCCGCTACCTTGTTCACACATGGACTCGGGAAACAGACTAACGACCACGTTTGGGGAACAGGACCAGGTTCAGGACCAGGTTCAGAAACAGATTCAAGGACTAGATTTGCAAACAGATTTGGGGAAGAGAATGAGGACCAGGTTCAGAAAGAGATTCTCGGAACCGCTTCTTTAGGACATTATTAAAATCGGAACGATATGGAGAAGCTTAATTCGCATGGCTCCTGTGCATAAGCTGCTCCCCACGAGGAGATGGGAGCACTTCCAACCAAAAAAAAAAAAAAAAAAAAAGTTAAAAAACGCAGCAGCATGGCTCCTGTGCGAGGATGGCATGCAGAAAACGAGAGACAGTCCATTACAACGCCAGTACACCCGAGCCTCCTTTTTTTCTGCCGAGGCGGATTCCCCCTGCTCGGCAAGCTTTTTTTTCCTTTTTTTTTTGGCTGGCGCGCCAGCCATCTTGGCCCGGTTGCACTGTTCCGGACTTTTGGGAATGACTGACTTTTCTGAACGTACTCGTTATGGGACGCTGGGCCCGGTTCCCAGTTTGTGCCGATTTGTGAGGATATGGTTATATCTAAGGGACGCTGGACCCGGTTTCCAGCAGGTGTTGCTCCCCACCAATAGATGGAGCTTGTGGCTTCGTCAAAAAAAAAAAAAAAAAAAAAAAAAAAAAAAAAAAAAAAGAGTCATTTCCGATTCCAAAGTTTGCCTGAGCAGTGTATTTGTTGCGGTTTAAAGTTTAAAGTTTAAGAAGAAATTTCAACAAAAGGAACATCCGCATATTATTCGGGGAACAGATCCAGCACTTCAGGCCCAGAGTGTCCATTGCCACCCAATGCGAGTCCATGCCATGCTGGCTGAGATCCTGGGGATAAGTCCCACTCGCGGGGGTTAAAACTTAAAAGTCGGCTCCTAGTACACAACTGTTGCTCCCATCCCGGGCCATCCGATCTGAACATCTCATGGCTGCACTGTGGCCACGTTGAAAAATAATGAAATACTCGATGTTCAAGGGAGACTACTTACTGCAGGTATTATAAAATAAAATAAAAAACAGGAGTGGGAGTTAGCCCCACCTGACAGGAGAAAAGGAACATCTAAAGGCGTGTCGTAGGACCGAATTTGACAGCCATTGTCAGCCAATAAATTAAGGAAGGCATGATGAACTCACGAATGAATGGAGAGACAAACACAGCAACAGACCCATCACAAGACGATCAATGCAAGTCAAGAAGGAAGACATCAACTCGAAGACGAAGACTGAGAGAGGAAAAGGAGGAAAGGAAGAAGACGAGGAGCAACAAAAAGTAGAAGAAGAAGAAGAAGACTAAGACTAAGACGGAGATGAAGACGAAGACGAAGACGAAGACGAAGAAGAAGAAGAAGAAGAAGACGAAGAAGAAGAAGAAGAAGAAGAAGAAGAAGAAGAAGAAGAAGAAGAAGAAGAAGAAGGAAGACATCAAAACGTTCCCAGCACGTGCTGTTCTACCAGCTTAACATTGTATCTCAGGGGACGCTAGATGTAGTAGCTCCCCACCAATAGACTGGAGCCCCCTGCAAGACAGGTGAGCGCATGCTCTTACCATCACTACACTGTTGTCGCGGGCGGTTATTTGGAAAAAAAAGAAAAGAAAAAGAAGGAAGACATCAACACGAAGAACAAGACCGAGGAGGGAAAAGGAGAAAAGGAAGAAGAGGAGGAGAAAGATAAACAAGGAGAAGGAGGAGAAGAAGGAGACGAAGAAAGTACATAGACATGAGATTATGAAACATCTCCTGAACGCACGAAATGGACCAAGTCCATGTGGCATCTGACCCTACCGGTCTTTGCTGGCTGCCAACCAGCACTCATCAGGGGTCTTTTGGTTTCTTAGGTTTCAGGGCACCAACTTAGGTTACTTAGCCCCTGCCCGACTTCTCATAGGGGGGCTATTTTTTTTTGCGAGGTTGAAATAACATAGAACATATAAGTGTGCAGTGTGCACGTCCAAAAAGTGGCTGCTTTGGGTTTCCCCGTAATACGATAATGATGACAATAAAAAAAGGCCTGAAAGGCTGTCCTGACCCATGTGATCAACTTTTCAAAATTTATGCACAATCCAAAAATAATAATTGCCTGTCCTAATTAGGCATTTAGAGCTCTTTCTGGCCTTGTGCCCTCCTTCTCCCGCCCTCCCTTTTCCTTGTTCAAGGCCTGAACATCAACCTCCCTCCCTGACACGATACATCTCTTTGGCCTCATTACTATTATT